GCGAGAGAGAAGAGAGACGCGAGAGATGCGAGAGATGCGAGGTCAGTTCGCCTGCGCGAGAGCGCTCTGCAGCGCAAAGGTGTCACCGCGAGGGAGGGTGCCCTTGGGCGCATGCAACCTCGCCTGGTGTCGCTGAGCCGCATCCCGGAGCGCCGCGACCCCCTCCCCCTCCCCCTCGGCACTGGACCACTCGTGCCAGTCGCGATGAGCCGCCGCCGCCGCCACCGCCGCCCTAGCCTTTGCCCCCGCCGCCGGGTCCTCTCGCTCGACTCGCTCGACCTCATCCAAGACCTGCTGCTGTAACCGTGCCAGCTGATTCTGCAGCTGCCCGCGCGTCGCCTGCTCTCCCGCCGATGCAGAGGCAGCCCCGGTTGCCAGCGCGTCCGTGGTGTGCTCGGCACCATCCGAGGCAGCGGCGAGCCTGCTGATCAGGATGAAGCCCGCCTTGACTGCGAGCAGGTTGAGGGGCAGCGCCACCAGCAGAAACGCGCCCGCCGCAAAGAGTGACGCCGAAGCGAAGGCGGTGTAGCACGCCGGGAGCACGGCGCCGAGGACTATGATGGCGTTGAGCCCGGCGTCGAGCCGCTGGTCAAGCGTATCCATTGCCCGCCTTGTTGTTGATGTGCTGCTTAGCGCTGTGCAAAAGAAAAACGTAGCCGGGAGTGAGCGGGGTTTCTGTCGGCCCGAGAGCGGTACCCTCGTTTGCTTCATAAGATCGAAGGCTAGCTGAAAGAAAAAGCTTCCCTGTTTTGAGAGACTCGCCATCGCAAAGTCGGCGCCCAACAAACTTGGCGTCAACCGGCGAACCGGGGGTGTGCATACACGGGGGTGTGCATACACACACACACGCGTGTATATGCTGTCGCCCTCCACACTCGTCGTTGCGGCCAATGACGGCCTGGCTTACGCAAAGCATCCATGTGTCGTCCTTATCCTCCTGCTCGGCACCTCCGCGACGGGAGCCTCCTTCTCGCTCGCGTGCTCGCTGTTTTGTGGCTGGGCGTGGCTGCAGGCTCTGGTGGGCTTCACTCCGTCCCTCTGCCGTGGCGGCGGTGGCTGTGCTGCCACCATGTTACTTACTTCTGTGCTACTCAGTGCCACCGCGCCGCCGCCTCCGCGCGCGGGGACCCTCTACTTTGAGCTTTCGGCGACGGCGGACTTCAACATCTCGATCGGCGCGAGCCGAGTAGAGCCTTCGACGCCCCAGCCCGCCCCAGCCGCTCGTAGCTCCACGCCGCGCCTCGCGTGCCCGACGGAACGCCAAGTCGGGCATGCTGGTCGGCACATTCTCAACGCCGTCCCGGTCCCACCTCTCCTCCATAGGCGAGGCGGATGGAGTGGCCGGGGGGGAGGAGTACTCGCCGGTGCTTCTGCTGCCGCAGGGCAGCTACGCGCGCCTCACCATCTCGGCCGTTGACCGCCTCGGCCACTCGCTCGTCAGTCCCGCTACGTTCGAGCTCGGGCCAGACGATGCCTTCCCGTGGGCAGCGGCTGCCAGGTCACACCCCGCTTGCTGCGACAGCGAGATATGCACGGCCACACCCCGCGGGCGACGCGGCTCTCACACATCGCATCCGCCGCCAATCGTAATATGTTGCCCGCCTCGCGCCAGGCTCGCCCTGCCTGGCGCTGCCGCCGCCGCCGACAACACGAGCCCGGCTGCGAGCTCGAGCGGCGCGACTGGCGGCCTACTGCCCGCGACGGTGCTGCCTGCCGCCAACCGCCGCCGGCTCCGCGAGCCCTACGCCATCGCCGCCGCCGCCACCGCCGCCTCCACCAACGCCTCCCAGCCGGCGCCGCCGCTCTCCCCCAACCGCCGACGGCTGCGGGGGCGTGTCGAGCGAGGGATGCTCGGGTCGAGGCCACTCACCCGCGGC